GCAGCCGGCCGCTCCCGGGGGGTTGGGGGCAGCCAGAAATAGGAGACCCAGGGGCTGGGCAGACGGCGTCAGCTCCTCAGACAGGCCAGGCTTGGGATCCAGCCCTCCTCACCCCAACACCCCAGGGCAATGCTAGCGAAGGGAGTGTGTAGCAAAGCCGGTCCCCGGGTTCCTACCCCATGTGCTCCCGTTCCCTTTCACAGCGAGCGCTGCCCGCTGGGCTCTTGGGGTGCTCCCTGCCGAGGGGGGGGCAGGTAGTGGGGGGCCCAGGCCATGTCTTTGGGGGCACTGAGTGCCCTCTCTGCCTGGGGCTCAGGCATGGGTCCCTCTCTCCACGGCTGCCCGGGGCAGGGTGACGTGCCAGAGGATTAAGGGAGAAAGTAAATTGGCTCTGGGGCTCTTAGCCGCTTACAGCTCCTGAGCCCATAAATGTCCCAGAGCCGTCGGCCCCCACAGGCCCCTGGATGTCCCCGTCCCCCCCGCACTAGCATCTGGCTCTGACCCCCCGGAGAGGACAGCCTCACCGCCGCTCGCTCTCCCTGCTCCCCAGGTCTGGCAGATCCCCGACTACGTGCCCACGCGGAACATCACGGAGCCCATCGTCACCCTGGAGGGGCACTCCAAGAGAGTGGGCATCATCACATGGCACCCCACGGCTCGGAACGTGCTGCTCAGCGCAGGTAAGGCCCCCAGGCCGGGCGCCCAGGGTCCCCGGGCTGCGCCCTCGGGCTGGGCGCAGCCCCCGAGTGACGCCCGTCCCGCCCGTCCCCAGGCGGAGACAACCTGCTGATCCTGTGGAACGTGGGCACGGGCGAAATGCTGCTGACCCTGGACGACATGCACAGCGACCTCATCTACAACGTGTGCTGGAACCGCACCGGCAGCCTGCTCGTCACCACCTGCAAGGACAAGCATGTGCGCGTCATCGACCCCCGCAAGCAGCAGGTGGTGGCGGTGAGTCCGTAGCGCCTCCAGCATCGGGCCGGCCCCAGCCCTCGCACGCTGCTGCTGGGAGCAATCCCGTGCCCATGGAGCGCATGCACTGCCCCCTGCTCTAAGCAACCTGTACCTCTCCCCTCCTTGCCCGCCCTGGGAGATGGAGCCCCCTGTTCTCCCTTCTGCTGGAAACTCGGGCCCTCCTTTGGGAGCTGGAGCTGGGCTGCTGTCATGGTGTCTCCAAACCAAGGTGCCGGGCTAGTCTCCGAGCTTCCCCCCGTCACCCCAGGGGAGCATGGCTGTGCAGTGCGGTTACCCCATGTCCCACAGCTCCCTCCCTCCCTCGGCGCTGAGAGCTAAGGCCCAGCTGTTCCCGCCTGTAACCATGCATGTCACCAGCTCTGCATGATCGCACCCGGGCCCTGCACAGCCGGAGCACCGGCCCCCAGCCCCATGGCCTAGGGCGTCTTGGACTGGCTGCTCTCGGGGCTCAAGAGCAGGGCACCAGCTCCTGGCCGATGACTGGTTGGCTGCAGGATGGGTGCCCAGAGGCAGAGCACGGAGACCCCTCTTGTCGTAGAGGGCAGGACCAGGGTGGCGAAGCTCACCCTGCCACTTCCTGGTCTGTGCCCTCTGTGGGGATTAGAGCCCACCCAGCCCTGCACTGCCCAACTCACGGCTGGGGTTTGCTGAGTGTCTGCTCCTTTGGGGCTGCAGGGGCGGGGGGAGGGGAGGGCCGTGCCGTGCTGCCTGTGTGCGGGGGCTCACCTCGGACTAACAGCTTGGTGTGTATCTGTGTTTTGGTTTTAACCCTCTAACCGCCGGCGCCAGGAGAAAGTCAAGCCGCATGAAGGCGCCCGCCCCATCAGAGCCATCTTCATGGCTGATGGCAAGATCTTCACCACGGGCTTCAGCAAGATGAGTGAGCGGCAGCTGGCGCTCTGGGACCTGGTAGGAGAAGGCGATTGCTCTGCACCCCAGGCCTTGCCAGCGGCTCTTGTCTAGCCCGCCCGGCGGGGGGGTGAGCCGGTGCTCTGCCAGCGCGTCTGCGTGGGGGGGACAGTCGGCGTGGAGCCTGGGACCCGTTGCTCAGCGTGACAGAGAGGCTTTGGCTGGTGTGAACAGGAAATGCCCCAAGCTCCCCTGTGGGGCTCCCCAGCCTGTTAGAAACTGCAGCCCACTCCGGGCCTTCGCCCCATTTCTGCAGGGACAACCCCAGACGCTGCGCTGCTGGGGAGGGCTAGAATGAGACAGGGTGGTCAGAGGACTCCGGACTCCTGGGTTCTATTTCTGTGGCCTGGGCCGACTCCCTTCCCAGCTCTGCTACAGCGCACCCTAGTGGCTGGGGTAAGGACACTGAACACTGCACCGCAGCCTGCCTCTGGTCTCGCTGGGCATGGGCTCCCCATGCGCCGCGCCCCCGTGCTCCGGGCCCTTGGCAGCAGGGGTAGGGGCAGGGCTGCGGAGCTCCGCCCACCCCCGGTAACACGCTGCCTGTCTTCCCCAGGAGAGGTTTGCCCCCCACGAAGGAATGAGGCCCATGCGGGCTGTCTTCACGCGGGAAGGACACATCTTTACCACGGGCTTTACCCGCATGAGCCAGCGGGAGCTGGGCTTGTGGGACCCGGTAACACCACTGCATGGGGTGCTCGTCCGGGACTTGGGAATCATCACCCCGCACGCACATGCCCTGCCCTGCTGCCCCGTGGGCAGGGCCCGCACCCCATGAGCAGCTGGCCTCTGCGGGCGGGGCAGGAGGGGGCTAGTCATTAACCCTGTGAGTGCCACACCTGGGACGCAGCGTGGGCACAGCTCACAGCCTGCCACGGGTAAGGTCCCTGCATCCCCCCGTCAGCGCATTCCGGGCAGCACAGCGGGGTTCCTGGGGGAGGGGCTGGCTCCCCCAGTCCCAACCCCACACTGAGCCCTCCCGGCAGATTGGTTTCAGCAGCTGGCGGTTCTCGAGCCAGCCCAGCTCCTTCGAAGGGCCAGGGGTCAGAGCTGTGGGGTGGGGGACGCAAACCCAAGGGCCTTGGGAAGCAGCAATGGGGCTGCTCTGAGTGCCAGGGGGCCCGAGGATGCCCGTCGGACTGTGTCCCTTTGGAGCAGGGCACTTTGCCCCAAGTCACGGGCGCGGCGGGGGCAGAGCTGTCCCATCGGGATGATGCCAAGTTCCCAGGGCTTGGAGTGATGTGAATTTGCATGGGATGGGGTGGGGGAGAGAGTGGAGGGGGCTAGAACTGCAATGCATGCTGGGAGTGTGGGGGCACAACTGTCCAGGTGCGGGCTGGGGGGCAGATGCTCCTGGGACGGAGGAGCTCACCCTGCCTGGGGGCGGGGTGGGTGAGCAGAGACGGCTTGGTCAGGCTGGGGGTCAGGGGGCACAGATGCTCTGGGGCGGGAAGGGAGGGCAGGGCCTGTCCTGTGGGGCACTGGGGATGCTCACAGTCAGCCCGGGCAGCCCCCACTCCCTGGGCTGCCCCTGCTGCTGTGTGGGGGGCACCGGGACACAGCTGTGTGGGGCAGGGCTGAGCCTGGCCGAGGGGCAGGAGGGTGAATAGCAGAGGCAGGTCAGGGGGGGCAGAGCGGGTTGGCCCCACTGGCCGCCCTCGTACATGGCTGGGGGGAGATGAAGGGAGAACCGGGCCAGCCGCCAAGAGCCAGAGCTGTCTCTTGCTTGGTGCCAGGGGCCCGAAGGGGCTGGGCCTGCCCCGGGCCTGGGTCACTAACGTGTGTGTGTGTGTGTGTGTGTGGCTAACCAGCTTGGGCCGCCCTGCCGCCCCTCACCTGCGCTCCCTCCTCCCCCGCAGGAGAACTTTGAGGAGCCGATTGCGCTGCAGGAGATGGACACCAGCAATGGGGTGCTGCTCCCCTTCTACGACCCCGACTCCAGCATCGTCTACCTGTGCGGCAAGGTAACGTTGCACCAGCCGGCCCAGAGGGCACCCTGGGCCCTGACACAGCCCGGTACCCGGAGTGGCTGGGGGTTGGGGGCAGGATCCCGGTGGCCGGGGGGGTTGGGGGGCGGGTTCCAGGTGGCCGGGGGGTTGCGGGTGGGTTCCGGGTCCCCGGAGTGGCTGGGGGGTTGGGGGCGGGATCCCGGTGCCCGGAGTGGCTGGGGGTTGGGGGCGGGATCCCGGTGCCCGGAGTGGCCGGGGGTTGGGGGCGGGTACCCTGGGCAGATCCCGCACCCATTGCCAGCATGCAGGGCATTACCCCTCCCTGGCGCCATCGGGTCCCTTTTCCTCCCCATGGGCTGTGGGGAGTAGCGGTGCCCTGCGGGATGCTGATGCCCCTGCCTGTGCCCACCCACAGGGCGACAGCAGCATCCGCTACTTCGAGATCACGGCCGAGGCGCCCTACGTGCACTACCTGAGCACCTACAGCAGCAAGGAGCCGCAGCGCGGCATGGGCTTCATGCCAAAGCGGGGCCTGGACGTCAGCAAGTGCGAGATTGCCAGGTGAGGGGGGCGGGGGGCGGGCACGGCTCACGCTAACCCCCATGGTATGTGGGGCTGCCAGGGGCCCAGACACCCCTGGAGCTACTGCCCCACAAGTCCTCGGATCCCTCCCCCAGGCCCATGGTAGCTCCTGGAGGCCCTCAGCCCCTGTCAGTTCTAAGCCCTGGGGGTGTCTCCATGCCCTGCCCATAACCCCGAGGGGCCCTGCTGGCAGGGTGGGGACTGGGCATGGCACAGACTTGAGGGACTGGGGGCTGGGCCATGGGAAGGTCGGGGGGCTCCAGGCCAGGCCCGTAACCACATGCCCCATTTATCCAGGTTCTTCAAGCTGCATGAGCGGAAGTGCGAGCCCATTGTCATGACAGTGCCGCGGAAGGTGAGTCCTGGGAGAACCCCCTGGCCCCAGCCCCTGCTTCCCTGGGGGCTGCGCCCTGGTGGCCGGGGCTCCTGGGACATGGGGCTCCTGGAGCCCTGGACTGGGGGAGGGGGAAGGTAGAGGGGCCTAGGCTGAGGGGTGGGGTAGATGGGGCGCAGGGAGGGGCGGGGTAGACGTGGCGCTAGGCTATGGGGCGCGGAGAAGGGCGAGGTAGATGTGGTGGTAGGCTGTGGGGCGGGGTCGATGGGGCACAGGGAGGGGCGGGGTAGATGTGGTGCTAGGCTATGGGGCACAGGGAGGGGCAGGGTAGACGGGGCACTAGGCTATGGGTGGGGTCGACAGGGAGCTAGGCTGTGGGGCGGGGTCGATGGGGCCCGGGGAGGGGCAGGGTAGACGGGACACTAGGCTATGGGGTGGGGTCGACGGGGAGCTAGCGTATGGGGTGGGGTCGATGGGGCGCAGGGAGGGGCAGGGTAGATGGGGCACTAGGCTATGGGGCGCAGGGAGGGGCGGGGTAAGCAGAGCACTAGGCTATGGGGCTGGGTCGATGGAGCGCGGGGAGGCAGCCCAAGGCCTGGGCGCTCCGTGCCGTGGCCCCTCACCGGGCCCCTCGGCTCCCCGCAGTCAGACCTGTTCCAGGACGACCTGTACCCCGACACGCCCGGCCCCGAGCCGGCTCTCGAGGCGGCCGAGTGGCTGGCAGGGCAGGACACGGAGCCCGTCCTCGTCTCGCTGCGGGACGGCTACGTGCCCGTCAAGAACCGCGAGCTCAAGGTCACCAGGAAGAACATCCTGGACAACAAACCTCCCGTGGGGCCGCGCCGCAGCCACTCCACATGTGATGCCAATTTCTCGGTGAGTGCCCGGGCGCCCCCGCCTTAGGGCCTGCCAAGCAGCCGCCAGGCTCACCCGGTCCCCCAGCCGCCAGCCTTCCCCAGGGGACGGTTCTTTCTGACCTCTCTTGGGAGGGGCAGGGCAGGCCTGTCCCCGGGCCCTTGCACTCTGCTGCTGCTGAGCCAGGCACAGTAGGACAGCTTGGGGCCTTGGCTTCCCGCTAGTATCTGAACCACACAGGTGGATAAGAGTCTCCTATAGCTGCTGGCTGGTGGAGTCCCAGCTGAAGGCTTGGGCTCAGGTTCCTGCCCCACCAGGGCCCAAGTAGGGCAGTTGCACCCCAGCTGGTGCAGGGCCAGGAGCGTCTCTTCTGCGCTGCGTGGGATGCGAAGGGCAGGGGTTTCTTTAGCCTGCTGACAGCCCCTCTGGGCCCCTCCCTGCCGGAGTGGGGAGCCATGGGGGCCCTGCCATGGGTCTGGCAGCTCCTCTTGGGGCTCGGGCGGCTCCGGAGCCCTGTGGAAGGGGCTGCGCTGCCCATTTGCACAGTTCAGCTTAGGATGAGACCGTGGTAACTGGCTGGGGGTAGGAAAGAAGGACCAGGGGCCCCCCACAACTCCCGTGAGGCAGCCCCACCTCTGACCCTTGCCCCTGCTCGCCCCCTTGCAGCGGCCCAGCCTGGAGGATCTGCTGGAGGAGATCCGATCCCTGCGACAGACCGTCCAAGCGCAGGAGAAGCGCATCTCTGACCTGGAGAACAAACTCTGCAAATTCACCAACGGCACGGCCTAGCGGCCCCCACGCCCCCACTCCCGGCGGACCCAGCCGTATTGAAAGGATTAAATCCAACCCCCCAGGGGAGGAGCTGGGAGACATGTTTTTTACCCTGGCCCCGGAGCTGCGGGCAGGCCCCCCTGCGGGCAGGCCCCCGCCCCTGGCGCCATGGGCAGTCTGCAGAGGAGCCCAGCTGGCGGTGGCGGTGGATTGCTCGGCTCCAGGAGCAACTCTCTGGGGCCTCTGCTGGCGAGAGACGCCGACCCCCCTCTCCATCCCCGCCCTGGGGCTGAGTGTGGGGAAGCCTCCTGCTGGGCTGGGGTGGGGGGCAGAGGGGAGGGACCCCATGCTGCGGGGAGGTATTTGTTTGGAAGGTCCCTGGCTGCCCGCCCTGAGCTGCTGCTGTCTCTGCCCCGTCCCCAGCCAGGTCCAGGTGATGGCAGTGGGTGGTTACGTGGGTCAGAGAGCTGGGGGCTGTGGCTAGCTCAGCAGAGCCCAGCCTTCTGAGGCAACGTATTTATGGGCAAACCCTCATCCCTTGCACTGTGGGGGCTTGCTGGGCCCTGCCTGCCCCTCCTCCGCCAGGCCCCCTGCCTGTCCGGCCCCCTGCCTGCTGCCTGGCCCTCCCCGGCCAGGCCCCCATCCCCTCGGCCCCCTGCCCTGCCCTCTTCTGCCTGGTCCTCCACCCCCAGGCCCTGGGCCCCCTGGCATTGATTGGCCTGGGGAGCTGGTCGGTAGCCCAGAGGCCTATTTGCAGTGAGCCCCCATCTTCCCACTTGGCCCCACTGCCCGGGCACGTGTGCAGGGGGGGACTCACGCCAGGCCATGGGCACTGCGTGGGACAGGAGCCCAGGCTGGGCGAGGGCTATGTCCAGGCAGTTGGCATGAGGGCCCTGAGGAAGGGCTGGGAGCTCTGGCAGCCAGCCCCTCCCAGCGCACACTGAATGGTCGGGGTGCCAGGGCAAGGCTGGGCTCTTGGGAGGGCATCGCTCAGGCCTGCTACGCCCCCCCCCCAGCCATGGACAGGCAGGCACTGAGCTGGGAGCCCTCAAAGCAGAAGGGGCAGAGAGCCCCCCCAGCCCAGCCTGCCCCATCCATGCAGGGCACCTGGGGGGCTGCACTCTGCCCAGCCCTGCCAGCGATGCGCGTGTGGGTCAGCCCGGGTGCCCCTGAGCAGCAGCCTGGCCTGGGGACTCCGCTCTCCCCGCAGCCGAGGTAGGCCTGCTACAGAACCAGGCTTGTGGCGGCGCTGGGGGCTGGGTGTCGCCTGCAGGTTCCTGGGCCCCTGGTGTTGTACCCGTCCCTGAGCAATAAACGGCTGCATTCTCCGACCCTGGTGTGGGGGGTGTGAGCATTGGGGGGGGGGGTGACCCCAGCACCGTGCCAAGCACCCAACCAGCACTGAGCCTTGCTCTGGGCGCCCAGCTGGCTACTGGGGGACTCCTGGGGCGGGATCTAGCCCAGCACCCACCAGCTGCCTGCCATGGGGAGATGGCTGCCCAGATGGGGACGTGCATGCAGCCAGCCCCCTGGATGTCCCCAGCCCAGCCCACGGGCAGCCCCTGGAGCGCAGCAGTGTTGTGCTGTAACCACTAGCCCACACAACCTCTCGGCTAGTGCGCAGGAGGCGCAGACCATGTCTCCTGGGAGACGCCCCCCCCCCCCCCCACGCTCACCCTCCAGCAGAGCAAGGGGGGCTGCTCCTGCAGTGCACCAGCCAGGGGGGGCACGTCACCCCCAGGGCTGCAGCTCTCCCAGCCCCCAGTGCCTGCCAAAGGAGGGCACTTTGCCATGGCACAAAGGGGGTTGGGGTGGTGCCAATCTGCCTGTGGGGCTGGAGGGCACCTTGGTGTGTGGGGGAAATGGGACTTAGCAGAAGGATTTGGAGTAACCCCAGTGCCCCCTACCTCCTGAGTGGCTGGTGCTGCATTGCCAGCAGCCACTGCACCAGGCGTCTCTGGGGCTGGGGGGTAGCCAAGGCTCTGGTCCCTGCTTGGCTGCCTTCAATCAAGCCAAAGGCGCGTGCCCTGCTGTGTCCTACCGCCAGGGCCTGAGCCAGGCTTGGGGCCCCTCCCCACCTTCCCGTGGAGCCAGCATCTGCTAAGAGACAAACGTTAAAGACTTTTATTGGTGTCCACCGTGATCGCAGCCTGTGGCCCTGGCCCCCCCGCCTGGCCATGCCCACGTGCCCCAGCCCCTGCTGTACAGTTGGTGTGGGGGGGTGTCGTGGGCGATTAAGAAAAGGTCCCTGCCCCGTCACGGCTTCGGGAGTGAGCCAAGCGCCCGCTGCTGCCCTGGGTTCAGTGTGATGGCTCGGCGCCAGGCGGCATGTCCCCTCTGGCGGGGGGTGGCTTGCAGCCGTGTACACCAGGCCGCCCCTCTGGTTGTGCCTGGAAGTCTGTCAGACCGAGCGAAGCCCTGTGCCCCCAGCCTGGCGCGGGGAGGGCCCGGGCCCCGTCTCAGCACAGGGCTGCTGTGTTCTCGGGGGTGGGGAGATGCAGGGAGTTAGCACCATTTGACGTAAGGTTTCGCTGGGGTTTAGGGCCCTGTGTGAGGCATGTGCGCTGCAGGGGGCACGAGGGAACCCCTCAGCCCAGGCCATGGGGCTGCAGCGTGCAGGCTGAGAGGGACCGTGGCGGGGACTGGGCCTGGCTCAGAGGGTGCTCCCGGCTCAGCCCCCCCCCGCCACCCCAGGCTCACTTGAGAGCTTGAGGGCCAGCAGGGGGCAGTGGGGCTCCCCATCCTAATGGTGCTGTGGGCAGACACCCCCACCCCCGGCCTGGGGTGCAGGTGCTGCCCAGGCAGAGAAACCTGCCCCCACTCCCCATAGTTCAGAAGTCGGCTGGATCCTGGTGCGTGGGGAGCCCCGGGGCTGGGGGGCAGCAGTGCTGGGCTCTCAGTGCTTCCTTGGGGGAATGGCTCCTGGGCAGGGGGTGGGGGCTGCAGCACCTGCCCTGCCCCCTCCCCCCACTAACAGGCTTTGGTAGGTGCCCATCCTACGTGTGCTGGCAGGGGGCTGGGGACGGGCCGGTGGGGCTCCGTGGTGAGTGGCAAAGCGGCCGGCAGCCTGGCCTGGCTCCTGGCTAAGTGCACTTGATGCTGTATCGGTGCCACGGAGCCCGGGACTGGCGTGTGCTGAGAGGGCAGCAGACGGGGCTGGTGCCTGCAGCCGGAGGGAGGGCAGCAGTTACCTGCCCTGTGCCCACCTCCCTATGGGCTGCCTGGGTGCTAGTCTCACCCGGCCTGCCAGCCCTCCCCCAGCTCTGGCACGGCCACAGCCCAGCAGGCAGGGCTGGCACCGCTCATTCCCCAGCTCCTGGGGGCAGCCCTGGGGCGAGGCAGGAAGGCAGGGCCTGGCACAAGCAGCCTCATGGCATCTCATGGGAGTGAAGGTGTCAGGGCCGGCTGCTGGCAGTGCCAGAACCCCATGCAGCTGGGCAGTGTCCCTGGGTCGCTGAAGAGTTGGGGGCATCCGTGAGCCCACAGTGGGGGGGGGAGGGGGTGTGCAGCTGGGCCCTGCCCTTGCTGTGGGTCACAGGGGGCAGAAGGTTCAGGCAGGCCCAGCTGCCAGGGGTGGGAGGGGCAGGGTAAGGGGCCCAGTCCAGGCAGCATGAAGGGGTGGGGAGAGCAGAACCCTGTATCACCACGCAGCAGCGTTCCTGGTTCCCTGCGCAGCTAACCCCATCCAGCCCTGCCTCTGGGCCCCACACCGCTTAGCCAGCACCCTCCCTTCCTGACACCCTGACCGCCCCCTCCCCAGCTCTGCTGGTACCCCTCATTCCCAACCCACAGCCTCCTGCTAGCCCAGCCCTGGGCTCTCCACCCATGCCCTGCCAGCCCTTGCAGCTGGCTGTAGCTGGTGAGTACCCGCCCATTGGGACTGGGGCGTGAATAATGGGTCTGGGGGTGCCTCCTGCCTCGCAACAAGTCACCTCCTGCCACCGCAGCCCCATCCTGTCCTCCCCTGCAGGGTTATGGGCGTGGTGCCCTCTCCCCATTCACCAAACCCTGCCCTGGGCCCGCAATCTCTGCCCCTCGCTGGCCGGGCCTGGGTCACTGGGGCTGCCCAGGGCAGGCGAGGGTTAACGAGGCATCTGGGGGGCACGGGGAGCCAGCCCGCTCCCTCTGGGGTGCAGGGCCCGGGGAGCGGCGTCACGGGGGCTCCCTCTGATGCAGCAGTCTCCTCCTGGCGGGCCAGCCCCTGCACCCCCTGGCAGTGTTCTTGGCATGGTCTCTGACTGGCTCAGTGCGATGGCATCTGTGGTGGGCCAGCGCTGGCACCTCTCTGCTCATGTGGGCACTGCTGGCTCAGGGAACGCCACTGCCCAGCGGCGGCCGCACCACCCCGGCCCTGCGCAAGCTGGGCAGCAGCTGCAGGGCCCGTCGCAGGCGCTGGGCTACTGCTCGGTCAGCGAGAGCTGCAGGATGCGCCGCAGCTCCTCCTCCTCCTGCCGCGTGCGCCGCTCCGCCTCTGCCTGCTCCCGCGCCGACAGCTCCATGGCCAGGCGCAGCTGCTCGTCGTAGCTGCGGAACAGGGGGCTGCCCCCGCCCCGCTGCTGGGGGCTGGCCTGCCGGGGGGGTGGCGTGTGCTGGGGTGTCCTACAGGGGGCAGGGGAACAGAGCAAAGGTGAGCGGGACCCCTGGGAAGGCGGGTGCCAATGCTGAGCCGAGGCTGCTGTGGGGCGCAGTGCCGCTCCCAGCGCCTGGATACGGGGGGCAAGTGACCGGGGCAGACGGGCCCAGCAGCTCTCCGCCCCCAGCTGGGACGCTAGAGCCCTGTCGGTCACACCGGACTCTGGTGAGCAGAAGGCCCTGGTATGATGACCCTGGCGGTGTCCCCAAGGAGCTGGAGGGTGGCCAGCTTCGTTACAGCTGGGGAAACTGAGGCACAGCCTGGGCACGTCGTGGGAAGGGTCCCCTCTCCAGGTGGGGCTGCACACAACTGTGGAACAAAGCCATGGGGCTATGCTGTGTGGGGCCACTGGGCTGGGCGGGACAGACCGACCCCCCCGCTCCAATGCCAGGC